CCCCCCCCCGCATGGAAATTCATCCATGACCCGGTGTACCCAGACTCTACTCAGCCCTAGTGCATGTGAGGGGTAACTCACGACACCGGCCAGACCTCAACCCTAGTGCCATTCTGTCTTTTATTGCTTAGCCCTTGGAGAATGAGGAGGAGGAGGAGGAGGAGGAGAATCAGGTGGGGGACGTGGAGGTGGAGGAGGAGGAGGAAGAAGAGGAGAAGCAGGAGGAAGAGGAGGGAGAGTCGGACACCAGTGGTTAACAGGGTAAACTGTTTTCATTGCTGAAATCAGTTTTTTTTGGCCAAATTTTCACTTTTTTGGGACTTCTTGTTTTTTGACTGTTGGAATTGTGTAGGAAGGAAATGGGGCGGAAGAGGGAGAGGAGAAAAGGAGGAAGAAATAAGAAGAGGAGGAGGGGTGAGGAGGAGGAGAAGGAGGAGATGGTCTAGGACGAGGAGGAACTGGGAAGGGGAGGAGGAGGACGACAGGGAGAAAAGAAATCAACAGTTTTTCATTCTGCTTGATCTTCCAGGAAATCCAACTGTTTGTCATACTGTTAGCTTTTTCGATTTCGAATGTTCCAAGACTGGGCAGCGTGGTGAGCGCAGAGTACTCAACTTGTGTGTGCCCTTCTGCATTCTGACTGAATTTCTGAGATATATGCAGGCACGAAGTCCCGCGTCTACTATTTGATGCTCAGCAGCTTGATGACTTGGAGGCATATATCCACAGCAATGGGGATCCGCAAATGATGAAGTGGTGGGCCTGCTATTGTGAAAGCCAAGGAAACATCGAAAAGGCACTTCAGTATTACCATTGGGTGAGTTGGCTCCTTCAATTACCGGACTACGTACACATTCTAGGCTTCTACAGGATCGGCAGGAGGCTGTATTTGAAAAATTTTGAATCAAGATTTCGACCTGGAACTAAATCTGTTCCCATTGAAGCCAAGAACCCGTTCTGAACATACCAGTCCTTTGAAATTCGAATAAAGTGTGAAATCTCTCGCCAAGTGCTTTGTTGTGGAAGTGAACATGCACAGAGACACACACACACACACACAAACACACACACACACACA